GTTCTTTTGGTCGTCTTGAAAGTCGGTGAATATGATTTTAAGCCGCTTTAGCAATATTCCAGCAATTTCACGGCTGGTGACACTAGAAATGAGCTTCACGCATTATCCATGTGAGGAATCGAACTCGCGTTTTCGGCGTGACGAGCGAACCCTTTAGCCACAAAGCTACCCCATCGCCCCTGCCTTGAAACATGCACTGTTGTCGTATGGATCAAGGGCACTGTCCGGACGTCTGTGGCATTGCAATATGCCTTCCAGAGTTGCCTCCCTTGAAAACACCTGAACTCGACGATTGTGACTTCGCATCTCCGTTTGCCTCGATTCTGTTACTGGGTTTATCATTGCCATACGGTTACCCCCAGGTTTCACCAAAGTAGTGAACGTCTAGGACTTGACATAATTTCGTTTAATATATCATAACGTGACATAACTGACATGCTGCTCAAGGCGGTACATAAACCAAAGGCATCCGTCACCACTCGCCCCTTTCCGTAACTGCTATTCGGCTTGTCCCGGAATAACACGAGTTGGTCACGAATGAAACCAAGGTTGTGACACAAACACATATGATCACGTACATGTAACTGTAGACATTGCTTATGTGAGTGTGAACATGTTTCATGTAATTATGGACTCAACATGACTACGTGAAATGAATACTATTTTACGTTGCAGGCACTGCTGCTATATAATTGCAGCTTTGGGACAGTGGGGTGGCCTAATGGTTAAGCGAATCACGCCGAAGACCCGGGTTCGACTCCCTACCTGAGTACACTAAGGAAAACCCATTCCAGGCGTCCCCAGCCGTGATATTACTGGAATAAATCTTAAAATATCCTCATTCAGCGGCTGCGGTCTGTTGTTGTTTTGATTATTGTTGTTGTTGATGATGTTGTTGTTATCACCAACATCATCATCACCATCATCATTTTTGTCCTTTTCGCTTTAATCGTGATGGATTTGAAACAACATCAATTTCAACCTAAACCAAATCGAGAAATTAGTTTTGAGGAACATCCAGCCCGGATCGTAGAATTGGTAGAATTACTCACGACCCGTGAAGATCAACTCTAACCCGGATCCGGGTAAGAGTTGATCTTCAGTAACCCATGCTTGTCGTAAGAGGCGACTAACGGGATCGGGTGGTCAGGCTTGGTTGACACATGTCATCGGTTCCCAATTGCGTAGATCAATGCTCATGCTGTTGATCACTGGACTGTCTGGTCCAGACTCGAGTATGTACAGACCGCCGCCATATAGCTGCAATATTGCTGAGTGTGGGTTAAACAACACTGACTGACTGACTGAGTTTGGTTTTACGCCGCTTTTAGCAATATTCCAGCAATATCACGGCGGGGGACACCAGAAATGGGCTTCACACATTTTACCCATGTGGGGATTCGAACCCGGGTCTTCGGCGTGACGAGCCAACGCTTTAACCACTAGGCTACCCCACCGCCTCTGTTAAACAACAAACAAACAAACAACAACATGTGCTCACAATATCATCCACTGGTGTATTATATTGGGTATATGTCACAGTGTGTGCAGGAGTTCTGGTGTGTAGTAGTACGGGCTGTGTGTTAACACGGGCAGCTGGACACGAAAAAATATGATAATGATTATACTGATAATAATTAATTTGTATAGCGCCTAGTATCCATCCCTCTAGTTGCTCCTTGGACGCTGAAATCACAATCTGATTATCATTACCCCGGATACCCCAAGCTGCCTGTGAAGTGCTAAAACGTTAATAGTCACATGACTTATCCTACCGGGTACCCATTTTCTGCTGGGTTATCAGAGGCATATTTTGAACAAACTCATTTGCCCTCTGTATGTAACATACATATATTATGTGCAATTCGCAGGTACATATATGTACTTTAAAATATTATTAAGTCAACTAGTATACTAGTATATTACGTATATCCATATAATCTCCGCCCACTGATGAATATTCATGACTATTCTACACTTAAGACCATTCTACATTTAAGGTCACAACATACGTGTCATCACACCAGCTCAAAAGTATGTTGAGAACCCGTTAACGCACGTGCATCTCGCTTTTCGCGCTGTTCCTTTGGTTTGCCAATGCGCCCTTGTAACAACTGGGAAACGCACAAATATATGATGACAGTTTCTTAAACAACTTTTTTATTTTTGTGACACAAATTATGCATTTTTTTCTAGAGTTGGTCTGTTGTTTTTATTGCAGTCCGCGTTGGGTTGATTCTTTTATGTCTATTTGTTTTTGTGTTAGATTGCAATTCATCGGTATCATTTTATCTCAAACGGACTATAGTACATATTTGGGCTTATGAATAGGCTTTGTTAATCGCCCTCTGGATATATACAGGTTGAACGATCGACATAATGACAGGTATACCGGGACGCCTATTCACACATACACCCCACCAACCCACCCACCTACTGTATGCTTGTCAAACAGGGTCAACACTCTCAGTCTAATCCTTTAGTATTTACTTGACCGAGTTAAAATCGGTTTGGCGACTTTTCCCCATCTTTGAGGGTCATACAGGAATCCATGTAACAGTTAACACATAGGGGTGGGTATTGCAGAGAATTTTCATATTGCGATATATCGCGATATATTGCGATGCGAAAGCATATATTGCGGTATGTATTGCAATATATTGCAAGAAGTTTTTTCAACAAAAAAGACTACTTATACTCGAGTTAATGCTTATAAAGCAAAAATGAAACAAAATCATCGTGTTTGATTAAGCTTTAATAACAACTTTTAATCCTGACAAAATATAAATGTAAATAACATTTGGCACAAATGAAACAAGGCAATATCCGAAGATTTCCGAGTGTTACGAAGTTTTCCGAATGCATGTCAAAATACCGGTTTTCGATCAGCGTATCGCAATACGTATCGTTTTCATGTCTGAACCGGTAAACCGGTTATATTGCGCAGCCCTATTAACATACCTAACCATTCTGTGGCGATGCTAAAGCCCAGTGGTGAACGTATTCGTCAACGCCGAAAACAGGGGTTCAAATCCCCAAATGGATAGAAAGTGTGAAACTCATTTCTGGTGTCACCGCCGAGACATTAAAGGAATAGTGTCAAAAGCGGCGTAAAACAAAACTCATTCGCCTCATGTATCTAACCTATCTAATATAGACACCAAGTCACGAATGACATGATAGTGTTGATACAAAAGAACAGATCCTTGTGTCAACCTGACAAAAGGACATAGACAAACTTTTTTGACTGCTGGCAATAGAATGTTTTGTTAGAAACTGAAAGTAATGTTATAATTATGTTACGTCATATAAGACTGAGCCAAAACGTTATAGGAGTATTTTGGATGAAAGGTTCGTCATTTGAAACGCACCTAAACAACTCGTTCCCAACTCGACCTGAAAATATTAGTGTTGACGGGTGTTGGGCAATGCTACTTATGAATCACAGCCGTGAGTAATAACATAAGATATCATATCGCAATGTATATACTTGCCACATGTTGACAAGAGACACTACATTAAGGAGATTTCAAGTACACTGTGGTCTCAAGACGGCAATATGTCGTTGCGCACTCGCGTGTGTATCTATATTCAAATAAATAAGTAGAACTCATGTTTCACGAAATAACTCCACTGAAAGTGATTCAAACAATCGGAAGAATTGTATATTTGTGATCGAAGTACATTTTTACACAGGGGCTTGTAACGCTAAAAACTGCCATCAAGGTATGTACTGTCACTAACGGGGTCTTATCACTATCCTGCTTGTAACGCTAAAAACTGCCATCAAGGTATGTACTGTCACTAACGGGGTCTTATCACTATCCTGCTTGTAACGCTAAAAACTGCCATCAAGGTATGTACTGTCACTAACGGGGTCTTATCACTATCCTGCTTGTAACGCTAAAAACTGCCATCAAGGTATGTACTGTCACTAACGGGGTCTTATCACTATCCTGCTTGTAACGCTAAAACTGCCATCAAGGTATGTACTGTCACTAACGGGGTCTTATCACTATCCTGCTATAAAACTGCCATCAAAGGTATGTACTGTCACTAAAACTATCTGCCATCATATGTACTGTCACTAACGGGGTCTTATCACTATCCTTTATATAGTGATAAGACCCCGTTAGTGACAGTTACATATCCTTTTATGGATAAGACAGTTTTAGCATTTTAGCATTAAAAGACCCTGTGTATTTTTAATTTACCAGAGCACACATTAATGCTCTGTAGAATGTAATTGTAAATGTAAATCTCAAATGTTGCTCTTGTATTTGGGATACACGCTCTTGTTTTGCTTCCTTCGGATAACGTACTTTTACCTGACAACTGAAAATGTTTCATTACTTATTGTACTGTTTTCTATCCCCCCAAAACACGAAGGCTGGGGAAAAAATTGAAACTATATTTTTCGAGTAAACAAACCTGATAATTATTTTGTATTTTTACTACATTACTATTAATTATTATTATCATTATATTGTTATTACTATATCGCTACATAAAGTTGCATTTTTTGGTAAACATGCATGATATAATTAGCGTCCTCCTGTTTGGCCGCCTTGTAAATTTTGTTTGTTTTTTGCTTGTTCGGTTTATTTTCATTGTTTTTTACAGGGCTCGTGAGGCCACCGATTATCCTTTGGCTTCAGGTGATGCCGCTGTGTGAGCGAGTATTGGAGAACAAACAAACTCCACTTAAAAGGTGCGCCCAGAGGCGATTTTTTCTTTCAAAATTGTTTTCTTTTTTCCCATTCCTGTGGAAAGTGGGAAAAACATGTCTGACGTAAAGCATAACGTGATGTGTTAAGAAAAACTTTTGTTGTAGTAATAACATTCACATATTGTCGTAATGTCCCCAAAATAGCAAATCTGAAATAGTTTAGATTTCTGCAACAGCCTTCCGGTACAGCTTTTAAGTTTAGGCTGATGTCCTATACGGCCTAGCATCGGCATGTTGTGTACAAGCCCCTGTTTGCAGGCAGTGCATAGGCAGATCGGGATTTCGTTTGATCGAGGTCACACAGGTAAAACCGGTTGAGCTGTGACGTCACAACCGATTGTCAACACACTCTGGTGCTCCGTGTTGCGCGGGTCGTTTACAAACATGGTAAGTTGCACAAGATCTTCAATATCCTTCCTCAAGCAAGGAATTACCTCAATGTTTGTTTTCGCGTATCTTAGGAAATGAATTTTAACCTGTAAGTGGGATATTTTAGCAATGTTCACACTACTCAAGACGCGAGCGTGTAGTCAAAATGGCGGCCTGGCTTAGCGAACGAAGGGCGGGGACGATCTTAGTGTTTGCCTGCGAATGGACTGTAGCTGGACATGACCGTTGGGTTGAATGTTTAAGCAGGTCAATAAAACCTCAATAAATGCTCCATCAAATACATGAACCAGATGGATTTCCTTGAAATGTTCAAATCTAAATTGACACACCTGTCATTTCGTTACGTGCCACACCTGAGAAATAATGTTCTCTGAGTCATTCGATTTCAGTAACTAAAATATACACAAAGACTGGCCGAGACGATTCCCCAAACAGTATGTGATATATTTTACCTGCAATACAATGATTAGCCTATATACTAGTTATACACATAAGATTATTAATTAAGCTGCTAATTTATAGTATTAGTAATAATTTACAATTAGTGTCATGTATTGTGCAGTAACGTTATCCAAATATGCCAAAGATTCAGGTAAGAGTTCCGCCCGTAATCCCCGCTTGAAATGTATTCTATTTATTAGGGTTGGGTTTGGGGTTAGATTTTAGATTTAGGGTTAGGTATACATGGGTGGAAATAACTTTAAAATTGCTAGTGTACTCCGGTACAGTGGCACATGTAAAATCACTTGCCCTGATAAATTTTCCACTATACCGGCCGTTTTCTTGTTGATTTTTTAAATAAACAACATAATTAACATTGGAATATCAACTGGACACCGGTACAGTGTGATATACAAATTTGCTTGCCCGACAGAAAAAAACACTGGACTCGGGCGTCAGGCAATGGGTTATTTCCACCCCTGGGTATAGGCTGTTTATGTAAAAAACATAGGCGTATATTCTTAGGCATATAATGATTAAAAATAAACACGGGGTTACGGACAGAAATCTTTCCCAATCGTTGAGGAAAAAATTGTCCTAATATCAAACAGGTTTCTTAGTCATTCAGTTCTGTCAGATAAGTGTCAGTAGAAGCTGTATGCTGTCATACAGCATGAGCAGTCATTATAGCTTTATCTTTGTTGTAAGTAAGTATTAATTATAATACTAAATAAAGTACATGAAGATTGTTAATTTCACAGATCTGTAGATTGTAACAAGTTCTTGTCACTGTGTACAAATATGTTTAACTTTCAAGTCAACAACTGTCATTACAAATGGGATGTGAGATTGCAACTTGAAGAAAACTTTGTGTAAAGAGGTTGCACATGATATTTATGCTATTTGTTTGCAATTGATGGTATGTTTGAAATTTCTTTCACATACAGGTCGAGAGACAATGTTATGTATATTATCCATAATGTTTGGGGAGCAAAAGAAGCTTTTTGTCGACCACGCAGCGCCCTGTTTTGTGACCATTGTTGTCTACCGTGTCTGAATTGTTAAAAGCGGCATAATACATAACTCAATCGCTCGCGACCATGTCTACAGCATGTAGATAATTTCTTAAGAACATTGGACAGCTTCCACGGTGTAGTGGCATCATACCAAGTGAATGTAAAAGAATGTCGTCTCCTTGTCCAGAGTTAAGGGGATAAAAGATGGACAGGTCCACTTGTAGAGTTTTCATGTATAACTGTTGCAAACAAACACACGTGTGCACGCACACACACACACACACACACACACACACACACACACACACACACACACACACACACACACACGGACACACACACACACTGACAGGGGGACACATACACTCACACACGCACGCACGCACATACACACACACAGTTATTATTACCTAAGCAGAATATTCTTGAATGTGGCATTAACCACCTCTCCATCTCACACTCAGCTTATTGTCTTCAATCATTTCCAAATACTATATGTGTACACTGTAGTATGTTGTCACCATCAGTTTGTATTTTCCTATAAAGTAGGTGTCTTATGGCTCCTTCAGCTGGTGCAAACAGGTAACTGAAACATGTATCTTCGTCTCAATGTACAAATATATATCATTTTGAATTTGGCTCCTCTGGGAAATCATGTAGTGTGAATGTCCGAGAAATCCACTCCATTTCTTAAGGTTTTGAAGCCAACGTTCCAAAGCTGAGGCCCATTATTTTTTAGGAATGGAGGGTTATGAATATTGTCTCCTATTTAAAACTCATACCTACTTTCTCACTTTAACAAACCTGTGAAGATGTGGGTGTTAGAATTGGTCCACAACAACCCATGCTTGTCGTAAGAGGCAAGTAACGGGATCGGGTGGTCAGGCTCACTGATTTGGTTGACACGTGTCATGGTAATATCCCTTAGATCAATGCTCAGGCTGTTGATGATTGGATTGTCTGGTCCAGTCTCGATTATTTGCAGCCGTCGCCATATAGCTCGAATATTGCAGAGTGCAGCGTTAAGCAACACCCCAACCAACCAACCAACACTTTAACAAAGCATTATTTTTGTGAAAAATATTTGAAGAATACATCAGAATTCTCAATCTCTTGTTTTTATACACACCGAATACATACTGTTTCACGTACTGCACCAAACCTTGTTACAGCTTATGTTTTTAATGCATGGTACATGGCTTTTAAAATTTTGTGGAGACCTGAACTAGTATTTTATCATTCGCATGCACGTTGTAAATACATGTTAATTTGATTACAATAAACATAGAGCCCTGAATAAGTATCATATATTATATCTGATTATTTTCTCTCATCAATGTAATTACTTTATAAGTGAATATTGTAATTGGTAACCTGCTGAAGCATGCCATATGGATCTGTAAAGGATTACACCAATATTTGAAAGTATTTAATTATGTTAAAAGTTAATTTTACACCATTCAACTGTAGTTGAGGTTGATAATTACCCTGACTGCACATCCTCAAGTTAGCATTGTGGGCTTGAGTCCCACTGGCAGCACACCCTTTCAGACAAGTTTGAAATCATTCACATGTTCACTTGTCAAAATATATTAAAATATAGTTCAGTCGTTCAAACTGAAATCAGTTGAAATGTTTCTAAATAATGTGTAATTGAAAACTAAGTGTCCATTCTTGAGAAATAATGGTGCATTTAAACAATAGAATGATGTCACAGATGTTTTTAATGAACTCTAAAATAGCTTTGTAGGAACAATTCAAACTTTAATTAGGTTATGTACGATTGATAAGGTGTTATGTAGCCATAACTGAAAGCAATTACCATCAGGGGTGAAAATAACTTTAAAATTGCTAGTGTACTCCGCTACAGTGGCACATTTAAAATCACTTGCCCTGGTAATTTTCCCACTATACCGTCCGTTTTCTTGTTGATTTTTCAAATAAACCACATAATACATACTGGAAAGTCAACTGGACACAGGTACAGTGTGATATACAAATTTGCTTGCCCGACAGAAAAAAATACTGGACTCGGGCGTCGGGCAATGGGTTATTTCCACCCCTGACCATATGTTTAAAGTGTTCATCAGTCATGCTGAGGACCAAGCGTTCGATTTCCCTCATCGGCACAATGTGTGGAACCCTTTTCTGGTGTTCCCGTCATGATATTGCTAATAGCAGCATAATATCCAACTCTGGTCAGGCTCGCTGGTTTGGTTGACATATGTCATCGGTTCCCAATTGCGTAGGTTGATGCTCATGCTGTTGATCACTGGATTGTCCGGTCCAGACTCGATTATTTACAGACTGCCATCATATAGCTTGAATATTGCTGAGTGGGGTGTAAAAGTTACTAAAACTAAACTCACTCACTCACTAAAACCCAAATCCCTCACCCACTCTGTGCTTTGATATCTATCATGGTAAAACCTCATACAACTAGATCCTCCTCCTCCTCCTCCTCCTCATCATCATCATCATAATCATCATCATAATCGTATCCCAATTGCGTAGGTCGATGCTCATGCTGTTATCACTGGATTGTCTGGTCCAGACTTGATTATTTACAGACTGCCGTCATATAGCCGGAATATTGCTGAGTGGGGCGTTAAACAACCAACCAACCAGGCAACCAAGCAACCAACCATCATCATCATTATCTGTGTTCTGGCATGTTTGATCTTGTCAAAGCTAGGATATGACATTGCCCCTGTTAAACCCTTTATGTGGTTAATAAGGCCAAGTTATAATTGATTATTGGCTAGAGGTGGTCAGTAATGATGGGTGTGGACACTTTCTAACCAGGTGATCAGTTATTGTCAGAACATTGCCCTGTTATGATAATCCAGAGGTCATCTGGTCAACATGGTAGACATGTGTTAAAGTACAACTGGACTGTTTCCCAGATTCAATAATCATGGTTAAAGTACAACTGGACTGTTTCCCAGCTTCAATAATCATGGCAGCATAATCCATAATCATAATCCTTGTATCAGTGAGGGTTTTTTTTCTGGCAGGATTGTAAGCACGATTCCAGAAAGAAGACATATTTTATCTAGGCCCTTCCTCTCAGCTGATCAGTATTTGTTTAACTTGCTGAATCTGTAGTTAATGTGATAGGGATTCGATTCTGAACTAGGTGATCTTGCCAGGCGAACAGAAAAAACATCTATCTTTTTCTCAAAATTGTTTTTAAAGTTCTCATTTACTTAACTTCTGAGGTATTTTTACTTCGCATTCTTTGAAATAATGTCAAGCCAAGTATAAATGCCTTTCCCTCTTTATGGGTCCTGGTATGACTATCAGATATGCAGATAAGCTGCTTATCTGCATAAATTACGCGAATATTTATGTGAAAACTCAATTCCTGTTAAGTCTATTGCGTACAAGTACACTTGAATTTTTGTAAATACTTAATGTTATATGTTAATATGTTAATATGTTAATGTAATACACACAGAAATGTCAAATCTTAGCCTGCATACCGGTGGATTGATAAAATAACTGAGGTATATTGAGAGGTTCTATTTCAGGAACTTG